TTAACCCCAGCACTTGGGAGGCAGAGGCAGGTGGATCTCTGTGAGTTCGATGCCAGCCTGGTCTACAAGAGCTAGTTCTTGGACAGGTTCCAAAACTACAGAGAAACCCTGTATCAAAAGAAAAAAGAAAAGAAAGAAAAAAAAGAAAAAACAGCATTTGTGAGGCTGAGGAGGCAGAAGGATTGCTCTGAGTTCAAGGCCAACTTGGGCTACAGAGTGAGAAACTAGAAAAGAAAGAAAGAAAGGAAGGAAGGAAGGAAGGAAGGAAAAGAAAGAACGAACCTGAGCAGTGGTAGTGCACACCCTTAATCCCAGCACTCAGGAGTCAGAGACAGGTGGATCTCTGTGAGTTCGAGGCCAGCCTGGTCTACAGAGTGAGTTCCAGGACAGTCAGTGCTACCCAGAGAAACTGTGTCTTGGAAAACCAAAAGGAAAAGAAAAAAAGATGAGGTATAATGTGTTTGTCTGTAATCGTAGCATCAGAGAAGCTGAGGCAGCAAGAGGATTGCTGGGGCTTTGAGGCAAGCAAGACTACAACGCTAAATCCTACCTGGGGCGGGGCAAGATCCCCCCACACACACCTGCAATCCCAGCATTCGGGAGGCAGAAGCAAAGGATCCATGAGTCCTCTGTCAGCTGGGACTGAAGAGCAAGCTCCATATCAGCCAGGGCTAAACTGTAAAGTAAAACCTTGTGGAAAGAAGATGAGGGAGGGAGGGAGGGAGGGAGGGAGGGAGGGAGGGAGAGAGGGAGGGAGGGAGGGAGGGCTAGTGAGATGGCTCTTCAGGGGAAGGCGCCTGCCACCAAGCCTAGTTAATGGCTTGAATTTCATTCCTCTGGACCCACATGGTGGAAGGAGAGAACCAACTCTCACAAGCTGTCCTGTGACCTCCATATATACTCTCATACGTATAAATTAAAATGTAAAATGAAAGAAACAAATAAAATTTGGGTTCAAATTCCTTCAGGTTCTAAGCTGCGAAGGGCTGGGTTTCTGGCGATCCAGAAGTCTTGTAGTCTGGGCCCTGTATCCTTCCCCACCCCCAGTTCATCCTTGGCTCTCTCTCTCTGTCCCCCTTTTCCCCTGTGGCTCCCACAGACATGATGCAAGCAGGCTGGAGCGGACTGAGAGGTGGGAGCAGGAGCGAGATGTAATTACAGCTGCTTCTGTCTCCATTCTACAGGAAGCTCAGAGTTGGGGCCCAGGGGACCCTAATCCGATGCATTTGCCAGACTCCCCCAAGACCTCCTGGGGAGGAAACCCCAGTAAGCCACTTCAGGAGTCTGAGAGTCCAGTCTCCATCAGCAAAAAATGCCTGATTCTGGAATGGGGTGGAGTCTAAGGGAGTCTGAGGAGAGTAAAGCCTTTTCCCCCTGGTTTTGTGTGTGTATATGCATATGTTCATGTGTGCATAGGTGCATGTTTGCTCATGCGTGCATGTATGCACACGTGCATGCAAAGGTGTGCAAGCATGTCCTTGTGTGCACAGTAAATGTTCACGTGCAGGTGCACATATACACATGTGTGTGTGATGTGGAGGCCAGAAAACAACCTCAGATATTGTTCTTCAAAAACCATTTCTTTTTTTTTTCCTTTTTTTGTTTTGAGATAGGGCTTTTCTTATATTTTTGGTTGTGAGCCTAGCCTTTAACGGCTGAGCCATCCCTCCTGTGTAGCCCTGGCTGTCATGGAACTAACAGAAATCCGCCTGCCTCTGCCTCCCTAGTCCTAGGATAAAGGCGTGCACTGCCACAGTCTTTCCCCCCTTTTTTTGTGACAGGGCCTCTCCTTAAAACTAGGGCTTGCCAGTTTAGCTAGACTGCATGGCCAGTAAGTCTCAGCAACCTGTCTGTCTCTGCCTGGGATCACAACTGTGTTCCACCATTCCCAGACTTTTTTTAAATAAAGATTTATTTATTTATTTATTTATTATGTATGCATTGTTCTGCCTGCATGTATGCCTGCACACCAGAAGGGGGCACCAGATCTCATTAAAGGTGGTTGTGAGCCACCATGTTGTGGTTGCTCGGTATTGAACCCAGGTCCTCTGAGCCATCTCTCCAACCCCCTATTCCCAGATCTCTTTTTGTTGTTGTTGTTTTGTTTTTGTTTTTTCGAGACAGGGTTTCCCTGTGTAACAGTCCTAGTCCTGGAACTAGCTCTTGTAGACCAGGCTGACCTGGAACTCACAGGGCCTCCCAGGTGCTGGGATTAAAGGCATGCGCCACCACCGCCTGGCCTCATTTCCAGCTCTTTATTGCTAGGGATTAAACTCTGGCCCATTTATTCCTGTGACAAACACTTCACTACCTGAGCCATTGTCCTAGTCCCTTAACTAGTTTCTTCTTCCTCTTGTTCTTCTTCCTCTTGTTGTTGTTCTTCTTCTTTTGTTTTGTTTGGTTGTTTTGCTTTGTTTGTTTGTTTGTTTTGAGACAGAGTTTCTCTGTTTCTCTCTGTAGCTTTGGAGCCTGTCCTGGAACTCGCTCTGTAGACCAGGCTGGCATCGAACTCACAGAGATCCTCCTGCCTCTGCCTCCCAAGTGCTGGGATTAAAGCCTTGTGCCCCCGCTGCCCAGCCCCTTGCTAGTTTCAATGGCAACAGTTCCTTTTCCATTCCACTGTAAGTCCTTAAGCAGCCTCCAAGGGGAATGACAACTCACGCTCCTCAGCCTACTGCTCTGTAACTCTTCCTCCAGCCAAAGTCATCCTCCAGAGAAGGAGAGAACATCCTAAGACACAGGAAACTTCGAGGCACAGGAAGCTCAGAAACTCATTAAATTCCCAAGGCCCTTCTTCGGGGAAGAGAAGAAGTGAACAGCTGCTGGGGAAGGAGCCCCTTCGTGGAGCTGACCACACATGGGGATGGGAGCTCCAGAGACACAGCTTTCCTGAGTCATCACCCACACCATGGTGGATTTTTGGTGATGTAGCCGGCTTTGAGTCACTAACGTTCCTGTAAGTGACCTCGATAAACTAATTGACTCCCCAAGCTAGATCCAGGTGCAATCATTTCTTTTGTCTGTCACTGATAAAACAGATATTTGTTTGTGGGTGCCTCCCAAGGAAGAGCCACATGGCAAGGGCTCACCAAGGCACCGTGGGAGCTTTGTCCAGCTTGAAGCCTTATAAAGTTCCAGGGAAGGCCAGGCATGTTGACACACACCGGTAATCCTAACATTCGAAGGGTCGGGGCAAGAAGATAGTGAGTCTGAAGCTAGTCTGGACTGCATAGCAAAACCCCATGTTTTTTAAAAATAAAAAAGAACCTGGCAGTGGTGGTGCACGCCTTTGATCCCAACACTCAGGAGGCAGAAGCAGGTGGATCTCTGTGAGTTAGAGGCCAGCCTAGTCTGCAGTGTGAGTTCCAGGACAGGCTCCAAAGCTACACAGAGAAACCCTGTCTTGAAAAACAAAACAAAAACATTACCCTCAGGGAAGCCGGAAAAACGTACTTTGATGAGAAATATCATTTCTGTGTCGCAACCAAATCAACATATTTAACCATTATCCAGGCCAAAAATAGCCTCCAACCACAAGGGCAAGCCACATACATACTGCTCCAGAGAGTGCCTTGGGAAGTGCAGCAGGGGTCCTCTGTCCTCACAGTTAGAAAAAATAGCTGAGTTGGGGCCCATAGGACCCCAATTAGGATAACAGCAGGGGGATGCAGAGGGGAGCTCGTGAGTGATTGTCTGTCTTCATTTGCTCCTCCTGTCATCTAACCACATGGCTCTTATCCAGGTTCCCAAATTTTATCAACCCTGCACCCCAGCCCAGGACTATTCACAGAGTGTGTATCCAGGGGCACTTTGGAAGAGTGGATGGGTGGGCGCGTGGATGGATTGAAGACAGGAGAAGGTGAGAGGAGAGAGGCCTGCAGCACCAGCTGCTCGGTGAAACCCATCTCTAAACAAAAAGAGGAGAGCCAGTGTGTGGTGGCACATGCCTTTAATCCCAGCACTCAGGAGGAAGAAGCAGGTGGATCCCTGAGTTCCAGGACAGCCTAGTCTACAGAGCGAGTTCCAGGACAGCCAGGGCTATACAAAGAAACCCTGTCTCAAGAAAAAACAAAAACTGAAAAAAAAGAAAGGGTAAAATGAGGACTGGTGAAATCGCTAAACAGGAAGCGTTTGCCTAGAATCCCCCAGTGAGTCGCTATGGCATGACTCAGTAGCAAATAACTTACTTGTTTGCCCTGGGTTCAAATCCTGAGTACCTAGAAGTTGGGAAGGCTGGGCATGTTGGTGCACTCCTTTAATCCCATCACTCAGGAGGCAGAGACAGGCAGATCTCTGTAAATTCGAGGTTTGCCTGGATTAAAAAGAAAGTTTCAGGACAGCCAGGTATATGAAATGAGATCTTGCCCCCCAAAAGGGGGGGGGGCTCAGGAAAGTTTGTTCGGTGCTTAAGAGCAAATACTGCTTTTCCAAAGGATCAGGGTTTGATTCCCAGCACCCACATAGTACAGCTTCAGGGGATCTGACACCCTCTCCTCGGGCCTCTCTAGACACCCGCACTCATGTGCACATACCCCCCCCCCCACAGACACACATATGCATAATTAAAATATTTTAAGTAAGCCAGTGGTAGGTGCAACAAGATGTGAAACCTGGACGGATTTTTCAGGGGCTGAGCAGAGGTCCCTAAGTCCCGCTAGAAGGGAGTGCGGGAGATGAGGCAGCTAGGCTACAGGGAGCGCCTCAGTCTTGACCTCTCAGCAGTGAAACTAAGAGGACCGCCCTTGACTCAGTTCCTTCAGCTATTCTCAAGCTGATGGGAAACGAAAAAAGGAGCAGCGCTGAGTACTCGTTTCTTGTGGGGGTGCAGTGCTTCTCATCCACACAGCTCACACTCCGCACTCGCTCAGAAAGAAAGAGAAGGGACGGACTCAGGCTCCCCCAAAGGTGGCCCCTATGCTCTGCCCGTGCCTCCGTTTCCCCTAAAGTGCAGGCACCACCAAGTCATCAAATTTATTGGATTCATACTTCGGCAGGGGAGGATAAAGCTGTTTTGAGGGCTCAGAGCAGGATGCAAAAGAGTCGCTTGTCACGGAAGGGATTCTCGGCGGCGGGAACAGGAGTCACTAGTGGATCATCCTTAGCGTGCGTCTCGCAGAAAGCCAGAAGCTCAGCAGCCGCCTGCGACACCTGCAGGCGAGGTGTAGAGATGCAGTTGACCCGCCCTAATGACTTGGTCCCTGGGCAAACGCCCAAATCCCCGCCCCGTATTTTGACCACGCCTTATCTGACCACGCCCCCTGGTCGAGCCCCACCCTCCCACTCCTCATTTCCCAGGCTCCTCCCCCAACAGAGCCTGGCGCAGACCCCCACCCCCACACAACAAACGATTTCCCCCACGGTTCTGTGCACCTTCATGCGATCGATGTTCACTTCCAGCTTCAGCTGCTCCACGGTCTTGCGAGCTTCAGCGATTTTAGCCATGTTGTTGGACATGGCTGCGGCAGAAAAGGGGTTAAATGCCTGGCAGGAGTGGGGCCTGGGGCCTGGAACGCGTCTGGATTCCCCCGGGGAGTAGTGAGAAGCAGTGGTGCGACCCAGTAACAGGAGAAGTGGTTGGGGTGACGACTCAAGAGGAGGACAGGAAGATGAAGGGGTACCCGGATGGGGATACCCACCAAGAGGCCGCTGGAGGAAGAGCAGAGGGGCCGGGGAAGGAAGAAGGGAGACACAGATGGAAGGCAGAGAGGCAGGTGGAGGAGGCAGGGCCAGAAGGACAGGGCCACAGGTGCTTGATCAGAATCTACTGATCCAGGTGCCCTCACCCCCTGGGGATAGAGCTTGAGCCAGGAAGGGGGGTAGCTCCCCAGGCCAATTAGCCGCGACTCCAGGGAGAACTGAGAATTAAGATCTCGGCGGGAGGGGCGCAGAGGGGGCCTCATTAGGGCCTCAGCTGCAGCTGCCCCCCTCTGCCACCCTCAGGGACCCACCCCCGCCCCAGCCTTGGCTACCTCAAAGGCTCCTCTGCTCATTAGCAGGCCGGAGAGAGGGCTGGGGCAAGTCAACCCAGCCAGCTCTGCAAAGGGGTGTTGAGGATAGAGAAAGGGACAAGAGGAAGAGCCGGGGGAGGGGGCAGAGTGACAAGACACATAGGCATGGAGAATAGACTGAAGATGGAGACAGAGATATTGGGGGAGAGATGATGAAGGAAGACGATAGGGAGAGGAGGGGGAAAGGATGGTATAGGGAAGAAAGAGATACAGGGAAATCGGGAACAGAGGAACAGAGGAGACAGGGAGACAGGAGAGAAGGGACCCGGACAGCGGAGGACACGGCAGGGCTAGAAGGGAAATGGAACAAGGCAAGAGGAGAGAGGCAGTGAGGAATGAGTAGAAGGACAGAGAGGATGATGGACACACAGAACTATAAAGTCATTGATTCCTTCCTTCACCCATTCACTCATTCAATCGAGGACGGACAGATGGCAGCCACCAAGCAGCTACTGGACCCGGACAGGAGCCTCCTACCTGTTGCAGCTCAGGGTTGGGATGACTGGCGGGCGACAGAGGCTGAGAGAGGCAGCGGCTGGTCCTCTTCTCAGTCCCGCCCTCTCCCCTGGGGTGCAGGCCCTCAGGACCGCCTCCTTCTCCTAGGCACCACCTGTCTCCACGCCCTAGGTCTGTTTCTCTGGGTCCTCTCCTTGCTATGTATCTCCTTTTCTCCCTCTCTCTCCCTGTTTTCCCGTCACTCTTACTTCCCATGTGTCTTTCTCTGGAGTCCCTCTTTCACACTGGCAGGAAAAGATGCACCCTTTAGGTGTGTGTGCCTCTCCTGGGTGTCCCATGCAGCCTCTCAGTGATTCACACGCAAAGCAGTCGCCTCAGCATCCCCCCATCTCAGTGACTCACTCAGGGGCACACAAACTCAAGTCACCCACACAGGGATGCTCACGACCTTGCTGGGCCACTGGATAGTGCTACCGTGCTCGACGCACGCGTAATGCCAAAGGTCTCGACTCATGTCCCAGAGCACAGCACACCATCGCCAGTGACGGCTTGCACCACTGCAGTGAGGTACCTATCTTAGAGTGTCAAGTGTATGTGTTGTCACCCACACGAGCAGTTTTAGCTTCTCTTAAGGTCCCATTCACTTTCTCAACATCTCACACGGTGACATACAATAACTCCTTCAGAATGTCTGCCAAGCACTCCATTGCTTAGTGCGGCACAGGACCACATGGTTTTCTTTCCACGGGTGCCTGTGTGTGGCCATGTTTACTCTTGGTCAGTTTCCTGATACACATGGCACACAGTCCTCACACACATACACACACACGTTTTACACACACGCGCGCACGCGCCCACACACACACACACACACACACACGGGTCTTTGTTGGGCCTCACAGTCTGTTTTACAAATGCTCACACGCTGTCTCTCTATTCCTCACTCACCTTTGAGTTCCTAACCACCACTTTTGCAAAGGCAATCGCAAACACAGGCCAACCTCTCGGTGTCACGTGATCACCAGTGTAGCAGACACACTTTTGCATTCACACGGTTGACCACACCAGGTTCCCCTCGTGCCATCACTTGGGTGACTTCACTCTGCTCCTGTAACGCATGTGGATTTCCTTACATACAGATGACAGCACGGGCAGGCTCCAGGAAGTTTCTCAGACCCAGTGCTACACATAGTGGCCCACAGTCTCACCAATAATCTCAGTGTCACATGACACCTCACTCTGACAGTCCCACTTAATCCCTCCTTGTCATTCCTAATCCCACTGTGTCACACAGTCCCACACCACATCTGGGACGTGCCCTCACACTGGCGTGGGTAGCACTACCTCTGGATGTCGCGTGGGACACCACAGCCATCAATCACTTGCTTAGTCGCTCACCCTCCCCGCCCTCAAGGCCCCACTGCTGGCCACACGGTGGCACCCTCGAGCCAAAGTCACTGGAGGAGCACGAGAGCAGAAGCCGCTAAGACAAGGCATCTCCGGCCAGCTTTGCAGAAGATAGAAACCGGAGATCTGGGGGACCCGAGAAGCATGTGAGAGAGGGGAGGTGGGTTCCTACGAAGGTGAAAGAAGTGCGGGATTAGAGGGAAAGGAAGAGAACTTCAGAGAGAGGTGAGAGGGGCAGAGAAACTAAGTACGGAGAGAGACAGAAGGACAGACGGGAGGTACAGGGAGAGGTGGCAGGAGACAGATACATAGACTGGGACTTGGAGACAGACACTCAGAGAACGAGCCTGGCTGGCCAAAGGACAAGAAATTCATAGTGCGACTTCCCGGCCGGACCACACGGCGGGGCGGGGCTGTAGGAGGGGAGAGTGTTGTGGGTGTGGTCAAGGGCGGGGCTTAGTGGGGTGTGTTGGACGAGGCGTGTCCTGTAGGGGAGTGAGGGCGGGGCTTGACGCTCCTTCCCTTTTTGGCTCTCAGGAATCCTGGAACCCTGGGAAGAGGTGGAGTCGGGAGAGGTGTCTCTGTACCGGGAAACCAGACTGGTCGGGGGAAAAGATATCAGTCTCTGATAGCTCCCGCCCGCCCAGTACTGGGGACTGACTCCAAAGTCTTACTCGTGCTAAGCAAGAGCTCTGTCACTGAGCTACATCTACAGCCCTCTGTTGACTTTTTCATTTTGAGACTGTTTCCTTTAGTTGCGCTAGAATGGCCTTGAACTCACTCTGTGGCCCAGGCGACCCTTCTGCCACGGCCATCCCTAGGGAGCTGGGATGACAGGCCTGAGCCGCCTTGATGGCTTTTTGGAACTGGGAGTATGGGACCCTGGCTCCCTGCCCTCTCCCTCGTGGGCTCACAGGGCCAGGTTGGAAGGAGAACACGGCCCACATCTGGAAAGCATCAGGCGCGCCGGACGTGCCAGGGCCCCAGCCGGGGCTGCGGGAGGGGGAGGGGAGCCAAGGAGCTCCCCCTCCACACACACACACCAGCCAAACAGTGTCTGCCGGCGCCGAGGAGGGGCCTGGGCTTGCCCCGAGCCCGGCGCCTCCTGCAGCTGGTTTTCATCCCCAGATCTGACCTAGGGTGCCCCAGAGGAGGAAACCTAGCTAACTTAATGCTGGAAAGACAGGGTGACGACCCCGTCTCCCGACCAAAGGCTAGAGGAAGGAGAAGGGAGGACAGACGGACACGGAATGGATAACCTCCAGCTCCTTCCTAATCTACAGACCTCAGCAGCCTCTCCATTATTTAAATATATATATATTTAAATTCTATGAACTTATATTTATATATGTTTATATTTTACTTATTTATTGTGTGTATGCGGAGATGTGAGACTACACCACAGCCTCGGTGGTGTAGGAGTCAGGGTCACCTTGTGAACTTCAGTCCTCTTCCCATCATGTGGGTCCCAGGGTGGAACCCAAGTCCTCAGGCTGGTGGCAAAGGCCTTCAACCGGCTGAGCCATCTCCAAGTCTTTAAGTATTATAAGCATCTTAAACACATCCAGAACCCACAAACTCCCTCCAGCTTCACTCTTTTTTTTTGGCTCCCACATCTGGCCTTTTTCCTCTGACCCTGTCGGCCTGTTTCTTGCAGAGAAGTCACAAGGCCTTTGTCTCAAAACAAGTCTCAGGGTACCTGTAATCCCGGCACTGAGGGGCACTGAGGAGAATGAGCCTGGAAGTCTGGAAATCCCAGGATAGCCTGGACTACACAGTGAATCCCATCTTAGCCGGTGCTAGAGAGTGGGACTAGCCTAGAAAGGGTGGTGGGAGAGGGGACTGGGGGTGTGTCTCTGCAGGTAGAGTGTTTCCTAGCATGTAGGAAACCCTGGGTACCACATACCTGTAATGCCAGAATTCAGCATGGAGCCAGCCTTAGTTACAGTGTTCTGCCTGCATGTATGCCTGCAGGCCAGAAGAGGGCAGCAGATCCCATTACAGATGATTGTGAGCCACCATGAGGTTGCTGGGAATTGAACTCAGGACCTCTGGAAGAGCAGCCAGTGCTCTTAACTGCTGAGCCATCTCTCCAGCCCCACATTTCAGTTTCTTTTTTTAAAATATTTATTTTTATTTATTCATTCATTCATTCATTATGTATACAATATTCTGTCTGTATGTATATCTGCAGGCCAGAAGAGGACACCAGACCTTATTACAGATGGTTGTGAGCCACCATGTGGTTGCCGGGAATTGAACTCAGGACCTTTGGAAGAGCAGGCAATGCTCTTAACCACTGAGCCATCTCTCCAGCCCTCACATTTCATTTTCTTAAAGATTTATTTTATGTGTAAAAGCGTTTTGTTGTATATATGTATGTGCACCATGCAGGTACCCATGAACAGTAAATTGTGAGCCACCATGTGGGTGCTGAGAACTGAACCCAGGTCCTCTGCAATCACAGAAAGTGCTCTTAACCACTGAGCCATTTCTCCTTCCCCCAAAAATTAATTTTTTTAAATATTTATTTATTTATTATGTATACAATATTCTGTCTGTGTGTATGTCTGCAGGCCAGAAGAGGGCACCAGACCTTATTACAGATGGTTGTGAGCCACCATGTGGTTGCTGGGAATTGAACTCAGGACCTTTGGAAGAGCAGGCAATGCTCTTATAACCTCCGAGCCATCTCTCCAGCCCCCAAGATTTTTATTATTAAATTTTTTTAGTTTTATTTTTGAGTATGAGTGCTCTGTTTGAATGTATGCCTGTGCACATGTGTGTCTAATGCCCATGAAGGTCAGAAGATGGTGTTAGATCCCCTGGAGCTGGAGTTATAGACAGTTGTGAGTCACCATGTGGGTGCTGGGAATCGAACCGGGTTCTCTGCAAGAAGTGCTCTTAACCACTTAGCCAAATTTCCAGCTCCCATTGCAGGCTTAAGAGGATCAGAACAAGAAGAAGTGTCATCAAGAGGCTGGTAAGGTGGCCACCCTGGAACTCACTATGTACACTGGGCTGGCAATAAACTCAGGAGATTCTCCTGTCTTCACCTCCTGATCACTGGAACGGGCACCCACCGTCACTCCTGGTCTGAACTGTATACTTTATATGGGTGGATTTTATAGTGTACAAATTACATTTCAATGAGGCTTTTAATTCCTCTCACGAAACGAAACAAAACTGAAAACTGACTGGCAAAATGAAAAACAAGTTTCTCTTCCGCTTAGGATTCTCCAGTGTCTTCCATACTTAAAACTCTGTGTATGGCCAAGCAGGGGTGGCACACACCTTTAATCCCAGCATTTGGGAGGCAGAGGCAGGCGGATCTTTGTGAGTTCGAGGCCAACCTGGTCTACAGGATGAGTTCCAGGACAGCCAGGACTGTTACACAGAGAACCCCTGTCTTGAAAAACTAAAAAAAGGAAAAGAAAAAGAAGGAGCCCTGCCTATGGCTTCAGGTTCCCACTCAGTGCCCAACAAGGCTGGTGTCTCTTTTACTCCTCTTCATTCCTTTTGATTCTGACATCCTGGCCTTGGTGCCATCTACTTTTTTTTTTTTTTTTTTTTTTTGGTTTTTCGAGACAGGGTTTCTCTGTGGTTTTGGAGCCTGTCCTGGAATTAGCTCTTGTAGACCAGGCTGGTGGTGCCATCTACTTAATCTGCTTGGTACAGCATTGCCTCAGGGCCTTTGCACAGCCTCTTCCTGTGGAACCTATCCAGAGCCTGACTTCCTTAGGCAGCCGCTCAAACGTTGCTGTGCCTCCTTTTTAGGGGACGGAGTATGGAGACAGGATCTCCCTGTGTGGCTCAGGCTGGCTAGCTCACCAAATTCAAAACAATTCTTCTGCCTCTGTCTTC